GTTTGTATAAATGTTATGCTGATCAGATTAGCTCTTTGTGGCGGCCCGGGTGATAATATTTCTAGCGGGCCTCTAGAAAATCAAAAAAAAAAAATCATATAAAATATAAATAATGCGTTATTTAACTCTTAGATACCTCAATTAACAATATGTAATTTTAATTTAAAAGTTTATTTATTATCATATTAAAAGTACATAATTTAAACTAGTAATATTAACTAGTAATATATAAAAATCAAAAAATTCACTAGTAATATATATTAACATATTTTTATTGTACCTAAGTAGCAGCAGCTGCGATTTATATTAGTGGCCCATTGTAAATATGATATCAGCGGCCCACCGGGGCTTCCCCCGGCATCCCGGTGGACTAGTCCATCCCTGAATGAATGAGAATTCTTATTTTTTAGCGAGGCATTACCAGAGTTCACCCCTTTTATGAGAATTATATAAATAACAACCCCTTTTTTAAATGTCATTTAAAAAAAGGGGTTATTATTTATTTAATTCTCATAAAAGGGGACACAAATTGCTGGTTTTGCAATTAAAATTAACCTAATTTTAATTGCAAAATATTCTAGAAACTATTCGGAGGAGGATAAACCACAATCCCTAAAATATGCTAAAATAAATTAATTCTAAAATATTATAATAATACTCCTAAAAAATTAGAGAAATAAAATTTTAAAAGAAGAATAAAAAATGGTTTTTAAAAAAGCGTCTTTTTATATATTGAAGAGAAAAGAAAAGTATGAGTACAAAAAACTCACAGTCTCCACACTTTATAAAATTCAAAACAAATCGAAAAAAATTGTAGCTTATAAGTATAATCTCTGAGCATTTAGCGATTGCAAAAGTATGCAAACGGTTGATGAAAACGAATGGAAGTTCTTTTTCTTTAATTTTAAAAAATGAAACACAAATCAAAAAGCAAATGAAACTTTTTAAAAATGTGCATTATCTATTACCAACAAATGAAAATAGTTTTATTAAAAAGTTAACAAAACCTTATGTCAAATAAAAAAAAAAATGAAATGGTGCAGCCTTTAATTATTTTTCTTATTAGATGTTTTGTGTCAAATTTATCCTACGAAATATCCTCATTGCTTTGAAATTTATTTTGTTTAAATACAATGCTAACGCGGGCAACAAAGAGCTTGGCTATTTTTTATTAAAAACTCTTGTATCAGAAATATTTTATAATAGAATGAAAAGTTATTTCGAAAAAAAAAACTTTTCTGTAAAGTTTTTACTTAAAAGGTTTAATACCCATTTAGCAAAATTGTACTGAAATTTTCCTTATTTATTAACAAATTAGGGATAAACGGAAATTTCCGTTTCATGAAGTTTTAAATTATGAATCATCGCAGTTTTATGAAATTAAAAGATAGTTAGAAACTGTTTATGACTTTCAGGGTAAGACTAGCCAACAGGGACAACGAGAAATTTCCCAGACAACTTTTGTGACCCCAGGTTTCCGAATGTTACAGTACTTGTGTAAAAAAAATTTTATAAAAAAATATAGTAAAAAAAGAAATTATTAAGGCGTCAACAAAGAAATTTTTGAAAAAACGTCTTGTTATCAACATTTTTTTTTTTTTTTTTTTGCAGATGCGTGGCTTCTCAACTCTCTTAATGCTATTTGTGTATTTTTAAATTTAAGATTATTGTTATTCATTTTCCTGTTATGTAATGTATTTCAATAATTATTACTACATACATTTTAGTTTAAGGCACTTACACTCACTTACAACCGTTAACTTAGATATTCTGTCAATTAATTAAATTATCAGAAATAATTTAACAAACTTATAATAAATGGAACACTCTAGAAAAGAAAATTTCGTGGAGGTTTTTAATTTAATTTTTTCGTGGAGAAAAACAATGGAAGCGTATCAAAATATATAGAAGTATATACGTATATATTTATATAAAGTAAAAAAATGTTTAAGGTGGTCCTATACTAATAAAATCAAAATTTTTAAAATGTACACATGTTTTATGATTTTTATATAAGAAGTAGTATTTTATATTTAAAGCACAGTAAATGAAAAAAAAATTTAAATTTTATAATTAATTTTTTTTTTTTGGTCAAAATTTTGTGTCGATGGACCCTAAATATGAACTACGCGCTGTAATTAACAGTCTGTAAACTAATAATAGTATGATCATGCAATTTTCACAGCTTTCTTATATCAGATGATTACACTCACCCTGCTAAAATCAAATAATTTAACAAACTATTGAAGAAGACCGGTTTAAGGCTTAAAGGTTAGCTTCGGTTAAAGAAAAACCCCGAAAAGGCTTAAAACCTAGACCTTATTTTTAGAACTAACAGTTAACTAACATGAATTCTTTTAGTAAGGTGAATGTGCATATATATAATAAAGAACTGTTAAAAATTTTGACACAATCAGACAAACCAATCTCAAGATATTTATCGCAGCATGCTAAAAACTCATATATTGAAAAAAAAAGGTAAAAAAAATTATTGAAAAACAAAACGACTTGAGCATTATTAAACACATAGAAAAAAGAAAAATGTGAAAATTCAAATATTCGAATAATATTTAACCAAAATAAAATTATTCAATCAATGAAAAAAGCTTGAATAAAAAAAGATAATATACAATAACTATGTTACAAAATACAATAACTGCCTTAAAATAAATTTAATTTAAAAAATAACAAAAAAATTTATATCTAAAAAACTCCTGCTTCATAAGATGCACCTTCACTTTTATTTACTATATCTGTAAAACCTTTTAGTTGCGTACGAAGCAGCTTTCTTCTTTGTTTTATTGAGTCAAGACCTCTTTTCCATCATCTTTATTATTTTTTGGTCTACTTTGGAACAGTACTGAGTAGCAAAAATATACCTGGTGTAACATTTAAATATTTAAATATGTTCAATATACCAGAAATACCATCATTAAATAAAATTACTGCTGATGCAACATTTATTTCTGAAGTGGTACGAAGAACAAAAATCTCTTTAGGACATCGCTTCCAAATGCCAGCATTAATGGACTCATTTGAGTTTTGAGTTTTGCGATGTAAACATCTACTCAGAAGCTTATCATCACTAAGGTCAAGAAAAATGGGTTTAATTATATCCCTAATAATAATTGGTATTCCAGGTTTTTCCCTGTAAATTTTTGTGTTGTTAATTTTATCACATTGATATTTACTGATAGTTTGAGGATACATATAGTGTCGTAATTCCAAACTCAAAGCATCTGAGCAGTGAAACAAAACAGCACCAATTGTTTTTTTCATTTGGTAAACTGTTGAACCAGTACTATTCCGCACTGCAATAACTCAATAATTTTTGCCGTCTGCCAACTTGGTTTTGCCGGTGGATTTGAGTTTACGCGTATACTCAAATCCAATTGTATACGCGTATACTATTGTCGACGATGCGACAATAGTACACGACGATACGACGATACGACAATAGTATACGACGATACGACGATACGACAATAGTATACGCGTATACTATTGTCAACTCGTTTTTGCACATGTCCTACACATTCTAATTTTTCAACAATCAAACTTGGGTAAGGATCACTTTTTAAAACCTCAGAATGTGCTTTGGAATCCCCGTCTTTAATGTAATGAGTAATCGAAGTCCCCTTTTGCCGATAAATTTCATAAAACAATCTACAATACCAGAAATTTCCATAGATCCAGCAGAAATTTCCATAGATCCAGCTGAACCTTCGTAATTATTTAAACACTCATGGGTTTCCAAAAAATTTTCATAATGTTCTGGATTGCTATCTTTTCTTGATTCCCATGATATACAGGCATTGCATACTTTTGAAAGAACTCGATAGTCAACACATTTCCCTGAGTCACTAGCAATAACAGCAACAACACCATTAAGTGAGGAGTGACCCCTTTTTGCCAAGTTTCATCACCGGAAACAACAATATCATCTAATACATTAATATCAAAATCATTTGGTTAGATATCGTTGTTAAGATATCGAAATTCATTTGCTGCATTATTCATTTTTACGTTAACTACACTTTGGTATATGATATGAGTTTTATCTTGAATATCATTAAATGCTTTTATGTTCATTGGAGAAGGTAAGTTCATTAATCCACAAAATTTTTCCAAACCAGAATGACCTTTTCCTATCTCTCTCATGGCAGCAACAGATCTATAGTTTATTTCAAACAGGAACATTTCTGAGCCTTGCTTTTCAATTTCTTTGCTAGAATAAAGACTTTTTCCAATTGCACGAAGATGTTCTACAAGAAATGTTTAAAAACACAGCTAAGCCTTTCTATTTTGATAAATCAGTTGTGATTTTAATTGAATTGTTATGGCATTGAGGACAATGTCCAATCAAAGTAACAGTTAATTTTAAAATGTCTGTGTCAATAGTTATAAAACATGAAGGCAATTTATTTGAACCATTAGTTTTTGTATTACTATATTTACTGCAATGTAATAACCTTTTTGATTGAGTTGAGTTAGCGATTTCCAATTGAGAAGTTATATTAATGCTGACTGTTGATGCTGAGGAAAATTGATTACCTATAAAGTATTTTTTTTAAAAAATCCTGTCTCCACCTGTTTTCCTTCTTAAATTTGAATCACATTTTTTTTTTCCCATAGTAAAATTAAGCACGAGGCAAATATAGTATAACACAAGGCTGATTTTCTATAGGTAATATATGTAAACATAATTGTATTTAAAAATCATGGCTTATTTAGGAAAACAAACATGAAACAGTTACTGGCACCAGTGTCAAAAACTAAAAGTAAATGGCACAACCATCTAAAACACCTATTTTCTAAAATAAACAACCCGTTGCTAAGACCGTTTCTAAGAAAATTATTCAACTTTATTCTGAAGCTTGCTATTTTAGAGCATTTTTAAATTCACTCCCTATAACGATTTATATATATTTGGAATGTAGAATGTTTGGGCTTCAAGAAGATGCAATTTTTGAAAAATCAATTTTTTTTGATTTTTTTAGTATAGGACCACCTTAAACTGTCAGGTTCACCTAATCACCTAATTGAGGTAATTAATTGTTTTAGATTAATACTGTTGGTTGCTATAACTTATAAATTATGATTTTTTTTGCATTTTATATTTTTAGGTTAATAACAGCAAAGTACCTATTTGAATCTAAATAGTTTTATGACCTATTGGCTTTCTATTTTTATTCCTTATAGGTTTATGACCTAAATTTGATTTAAATAGGTTTAAACCTACGTCAAATTTGGATGTAGATGATACTTTAATTTAGACCAAATAATATCTTTTTTGAATAAAATAGTTTGTTTTTTTAACATTTGTTTTTAATTCAATTTTTATTTGCAATTTAAGAATCAATTTGTTGAAAGGCTTAAGACACAAAATAAAAAATTTAATACTCTACCAGATAATCTGATGACTGCAATATTGGATGCAACATTGGATGCAACATAAGTAAGTAAAAATAAAACAAGCCTATACTAAACATTTATTGAATAAATTTAGAACAATTTTAAAATTATGTATTCTATTTATTATAGAATATAGGTAGGTATTTATTATAGAATATAGGTAGCTATTTGTTTACCTTTAATGGTTTACTCTTCATTTATTTTTTATATATAATTTAAGAACGAATAAATTGAAAAGCTTGAGACATTTAAAGACAGTGGTTCTGCCTTTGAAATATTAATTTGAATGCTTCTCTACCAGATACTCTGACGACTACAACATTGGGTGCAACAAAAAATGCTCTTTTCGAAATTAGTAAAGTACTTGGGTTTGAAAATTCTACGGTTTTAAGAAATGAATTTAAAGATTTTACTAAAAAATGGAATTAACTTAAATTTACCTAGTATTTATGCAAGTTGTAAAACAAATGAAGACACTGAGCTATCAAAGTTACAGTTGGAAGAAAATGAAATTGAATTCGTTGTTTTAATTGTTTCATTTGTTGTTTTAATGTTTTGTTTCCATACAGGTTGTTTATTGAATCATACAACCATTTATTTTTGGCCTATTAATGTAACTTGACTTTGTTTTGCACCCGAGTAAGGTGTGAAAAAAGGTTTTTCTACCTTAAAATATACGAAAATTGTCTAGGGAATCGATAATCACTTTTTAGAAAAATTAACACACGACAACAATTTTTTTTGTAATTTAAGTTATTATACCTCCTTAAGTATTAAACATAATAGTTTTTTCATTTGTATTATTTTATTAATGTATTACAGGGTTCATTAAAAACCTTAAATAAATAAAACCTTCTTTAAACTCATTAAATCAAGAAGATTGAAAATGAATCTCTCTTTGAGTGATGAGTTTTTCCTGAACTTTTAATAAAACTTTTGCATGTTTTTTAACCAAATCTCTTTAAAAATTAAGAAAATTTTATAAAGCTTAAAAACTTGTGAAAAGACGTTTATTAGAACTAACTAGTCCCTTTTTAAAAGAAACCTCAGCCTATTTCATTTGAATGCAAAATCAATTTTGTATTCAGCTCTATTAATACAACCTCCTGTTAATTGGATTAAAGAAAAAATTGTTACTTATATTTTTTCAAATTAAAAAAAAGGTGTAAACAGGCTGTTACAATTTGAAGATGTCATGATTTTCCCGGTCCATGTTTTAAAGCTAGTCCAACCCTGATGACTTCTTGTGATAAAGTCATAAATAAGTTATTGATAAATTGCCAATAAATTATTGATGTGGTTTGAAATTATCTTAAAAAAAAGATTTCTATATTGTTAATAAAGATGTTTTATATATACCACATATGAAAGTTATTTTGCCTAAAAGCTAACTTCTACAAACAAACGGTATGCATAAAAATCTAACTTCATAATTTTTTTAAAAATTAAATGGGTTTTTCATTTATATCGTAGATTTTTCATTTTTAAAACCTATTTTATAGATAATCTATATAATTGACTTTAAATATGTTATATATATTTAGCATGTGTATCATCCAGTATATAATATCTCTCTCTCTATATATATATAATAATGATCGACCGAAATTCGGTTCCTGTTTCGGTTCCGGCCGGAATTTCGGTTCAAAATTCTACCGAAAATGTATCTTAAAGCTTTATTAAGAGTTTTTAAATTAGATGAGAAGCTTGAGAATTAATGGAAATAAGATTTGGATTTGGTTGAAAATGAAATAATTTTCTTGTTTAAATTAATATTCATACCTTGTAAAGTTTTTTATCGTTATTATTTGAAAAATAATATTGTTTTATGAGTGTAACTTTTACATAAATATATATATATATATATATATATATATATATATATATATATATATATATATATATATATATATATATATATATATATATATATATATATATATATATATATATATATATATATATATATATATATATATATATATATATATATATATATATATATATATATATATATATATTAAATATTACAATTAATTAAAAAAATCCATCTTATATACTAATTTTATATAATCTATAAAGTGTTAAATTATCTGTTGTTTCTTTTCAATTAACTCTTTTTTCAATCAACAGTTTTTAATTGCATCCACGCGAGAATTTCCCTCGGAAAACAATGTTCAATTGGACAACTACTTCAATTGGACAACAATTTCAACACTATAATTTCCTTAAGGGTATTGTAGTGTTGAAATCGTTAATATTAGTCGAAAGAAAGCATATTGTTAATTATTGTCCGAAGGGAATTTTTGGGTAGCAACCATTACAATAAATAATGGATATACAAAAAAACTTGTCAGTTATATTTTTAACATTTGTATTTGACGCAAACCAACTATATTGAAAAACCTACTTATATTTCATTCTATTAAATTGAATTCAAAAAGAAAAACAAGTTAAGCATATAAAATACTTCATAATTAAAGCAAACAATACAAAAATAGTTCAGTAGAAAACATGCAACGACAAAGTTTCAAGAGGATCAGACAACCCCATAAAACATGGATAATATGAACTAACGTCACATCTGAAGAAACATCATCCTGACATCAAACTTACGCCAGAAAGTTCAGGAAATCCAAAAGCCAACAAAGAAGCTAAATCTAAATTAAACAATAGAAAGGCAGATCCAATTCTTAATATACGATCAAAAAAATAAAAAATTGACATTTTAAAATCTACAATTCCAAAGTTGGTTCAAAAATTGAGTTTATTTCTAAAAAAGGCCAAAAATTTTACGTCATTATTTGAAAAGATGGTTCTTGACTTCCAACCGTAGTTTATTATTAATGATGCTGAGTTTTTGAGGCACCATGCTCTTGTTGCTTCTGATTACATAATCCCTAGCGAAAAATACTACATAAGTTTACTGGATCCAACTTATGAAAAAATAAAATTTGGTCTCAAGGAAAAGTTGGTTCAATTAGAAGCTGAAAGTATCAGACAGCTGAAAGTCAGTCTCTCTTGATGCGTGTTCATCATTTCATCATGGCTACTTGGGGAAGACGGTTCAATTTATTTCTAAAGATTGGAATTTTGTCAAACTCTGCATTTCTTGTTCTCAATTTAATGAAAGGCATACCGCAAAATACATTTTCAATAAGATCAATGCAGCAAATGTAAAGGCAGCCTTTAATGAACTATGCTGTAATTATGCATTAGCTGGATGCCTGCACCACTCCCTTTAACTTGTCATCAAAAAAGAACTATTTTCACATCCAATCATAGACGGACTAATTGCAAAGAGTCAAAAACTCTGCTCTTACGCATCCCATTCTATCGCTTTTTACACTAAAATTTACAGACAGCAAGAAATCCAAATGGATACAAAAGTCAGACAACTTAAAAAGCAATGTTGCTACAAGATGAAACTCTACCTATTATATGCTTAAGCAAACTTTACACCTGAAGCCAACCATTGCTGCTACCTTAATCAAATTTTCTTCAGTGGGAATTGAATTTTCTGTCCAACAATGAAGCCTCTGTGAAAAAGTGGTCAAAACTTTAAGGGTTTTAAGGAGGTAACAAAAATGTTGTCCGGTGTTGAATCAGTTCCTGTATTCCAATTGTGACAACAATAATTAAAGTTTTGGAAACATTCTCGAGCAATATCAGTGTTCAGGAGTTAAAAATTGGTATGAAAAATGCAATGGAAAAACGTTTTTCAGCAATTGAAAAAACAGAACATTATTCAGTTGCTCTCTCTACTCGATCCAAGATACAAATGGTATTTTTTCAGATCTCAAGGTGCTTTGCAAAATGCTAAACACGTTGTCATGTCTCAAATGGACAATTTTGAACCTCTAGATAATTTGGCTTCTGCAACTCAAATTCCATCTAGCGAAAATAAAAAAAACGCATCGTTTGTTCATAAAATGTCAAAAATTATTCTGCAATCTCACACTCAAATTGGATCAAATGCACGTTCACCTTCCAAAATGATAAAAGAAGCGTTTAATGATTTTTTGGATAGTCCAATGGCTTCTCAATGCCTTGAGTTTTGAAAAAGCTATAAAAAAATGCAAAAAATCAAGTTAGCGTTGACTAAGGTGGCAAAAAAGTACCTCACACCACCTCCAACATCAACAGATATTGAAAGACTGTTTTCTACAGCTGGAGACATTCTCTCAAACGAAAGAAACAGAATCCATCCAGCAAATTTGGAAAAACTTCTATTTTGTCGAGAAAATCTTCCAGTTGTTGGATTCTGTTATTAGTTATTTTTATTAATTTAATATTTTGTTTAAATTAAAACTAAATTTAAAAAACAATATATATTATTGATTTTTGGTTCGGGTCCTGTGCCGGTTTGGATTTATTTTGTGTTGCGGTTCCGGTTATGAATAAGAAAAATTGATTTTCGGTTCAGTTTCGGTTCCGGCAAAATATTCGTTCCGGTCGATCACTAATATATAATATACTTTAAAAATTTTTATGCTATTTTTTTATATATATATAATTTATTATTTTGTTTTATGAAAATAAAAAACTAGATATGAAGTATAATAATTCTATTATAGCTAAAACAAAATTTCATTATCAAACAACATTTCAATATATGTTCATAATGCTTTTAAGCAAA